TGTTGATTTTAAAACATAGGAATATTCAGATCCAGTATCCATCAAAGTTCGAAGATGAAGTTTTATTCCTTTATGTTGCGTGGCAACCACTAAAGTTTGAAGCAAAATGCTTCCTGAAGTGCCTATTAAAGAAAGGGTACTAATTTCACAATTTTCTTGATTGCACTCAACAGGAACTTTTGATTTCTGCTTAAATTCTGGACAACAAACAATGTAATGCTCCCTACCACAAAACATGCATAAAACTTTGCTTTTCCAATTTTTAGCTCGATGGTTTGTTTTCAAACACGTAAAGCAACATTTTTTCTCTTTCATAATTTTCAATTTTTCATCATGACTTAAATTTTGTGCTTTGTAGCAATTTTTACTTTGATGAGATTTTTCACAGAATATACAATTTATTACATTATCGTTATTTATTTCTTTTGCTCCGGAAAACAAGTTGCTTACAGTAGGTATAGAAATATCTTCCCTATGCTTATTAATTTTTCTTTAGGGATCACTTTGTTTCCTGACTTTGCTAGAGTTAATCGTTCTGCCCCTTCGTCCTCAGCCCTTAGAAAATGTAAAAGCTGGGTCGGTGCTACTTTGGTAGACAGTTGCACGGATTTTTGGCGATTTAATTTGGCGCAATTGTTGGCGCTGTTTTTACAATCGTCAGTCATCTTGAAAAACGCTGCTTTTACGTATTTTGCGAATAGTAAAGTATTCGAAACTTTAAAAAAATAAATATCGTTAAAAAAATAGATTAATTTTTGTTGAAAACGTTGTTTGTTTAAGATGGTAGGCAAATGTAAATACATTTACTACGAGTATAAAATACTAAAGTAAGGTTAAATTATTACTTTCATATAGCAAAGAAATAGAATAAAAACACCGCTATAAAAATATTGCGCCAACGTTTAATTGGATTAAACTATTACATAAATTGAATATCGAATTAAAAACCATCATACCAACGTTTAAAAGAATTAAAATATTACTTAAATTCAAATACTTTAAAATAAGTAAATAAGAACGCTTCGTACACTAGAGCTAAAAGGACAGCAGTTAGTTTATTGCCGGTAAAAAAAGGAGGAATGTCTAATACTTTTTTTTACCGTTACAGCAGTTATTTCTTTCAATGTGACCATAATACCATATACGGCCGTCCTCAGAATCGGCTCTTTGAACGATCTTCATCTGTGATCCACATTTCTCGCACTTCCTTGAAGAAGCAATTAGCGATGTTTCCTCCAAAAATTTAAAATAAATTTCCTCTGACCCTTGTAGCAATTTATAAATAAATCTTTGATTAGGAAAGCCAGGTTGGCCAAAATAAGGTTTCAAAAGACAATTTTTTTATTCCGATACCAATAACAACATTTTTGAAAGAGACATATCCGTTTCCTATGAAATCTAAGGAATTTGAAGAGATGAATAATATAAAATTTTAAAATGGCGCGGTAATGCACAAATATTCAGTAACCAATCAGGGAGCTGATTACGTCCCGCCTAGATTTAAACTTATTTAAATAATCATACATAATAAAATCGGTACTTTTCTGTTTAGCCGGCACAAATCTCGCCAAGCAGACTTTGTTGGCAAAACGGAAAAGTACCATAAAATCATAAAAAAAAAAAAAAAAAAAAAAAAAAAAAAAAAAAAAAACTGCAAAATCAAATTTTATTGTAATATTTAACAGCCATATATAATGTTTATAATATTAGATTAAATTTATAGATATTAAAACCAATTACTTTTAAAGTAAGGTGACGTCATTGATTACATCATCCACAACATAAATTATACAAGATATCATAAACAACAAAATTTTTATTTCAAATAAAAATGCAAAATTAAATTGATTTTTAATATTCAGAAGCCATAAATAATATTTAAAACACGGAATTTATGCATAATAAAACGCATTATTTTTTAAATAAAATGACAACAAAGTATCGGTTACCATAAATAACTTGTCCAACAATGGGTTTACCATAAGTCATATCGCTCGCCAAAAAAATCGCCAAAATCCGTGCAACCGTCGACCAAAGTAGCAGTTATATGAAAAGAAATCATATAGTCTTGCACTATATGATTTCTCTTCATTTGTTGAGTTTCTCAACCAAACTCTCAACTCTTCTTCTGGACTCCACGACTCCACAAGTGGGAAGAGCATTGCAGAATATTTGCCTAAGGTCATCCCAATGGATTCTAATGATCTGAGGTGGGATTCAAGTTTATCATATAACTGAATGATACTAAGCCTTGATTTGGTAGCATTTTTAACAACTAAAGTTAATAGTTCACGAACATACTATTCCACTAACAATTCATCACGGCCAAATCTTGCTTTGAGGCTTTCAATCGCTTTTGTATAATTTTCTGCCGTAGGTAGATAGCTATAGATGATCTCTTTCGCTCTTGTACCTGGCGAGATACACTGTATTAACCCTTTCTGGAACGCTACCTTTTAAAGTCGGAGTTTTGATTAAAAAAAAAATGGTAGGCAGTCTAATTAGGTCTAGAGGAGTACACAAGTAAAATTTTGTGAAGATAGCCCTTATCGTTTTAATTCTGTGGGTGTGCCCAAAGTGGCACACTGATTGAATAGAGCTTCGAAAAGAGTGCTGAAACGAACATTGTTGTGAATGAACTGACCGATGAGATGCGGAGAAGCAAAGAATACAGACTCTCCGTTGTCCTAGATTATAGATGAGCCCGGTCTGGGCACACCTAGGGTTCGCCGTTTTATTTTAGGCAAGATTTCAAGGTAAAAATTTAAAGCTAATATAGAATAAAGAGATTAGCATACAGCCAAAAAGATAATATAGAAATTTCTTTTAAAATAATTCCTTTTATACCCTAAAAATTGTCTGGAATATTTCTTTAAAAAATAAGATTTCTTTCTAAAATATATGGACTGGTTTGTGTTGAGCTGCCATCTATTATAAATCAAGAAGGTTCAGAGTAACCTATAAATCCTTTTTCATTCAATTTTTCTGTGCGTACAGAAGGAAATTTTTAGGTGGTCCAGACTGGACACACTGTGCAAAGTGTTAAATATTGGAATTTGTCTTCCAACTCCATTTCTTTATGATCGTGAATTCGTGTAAACTGATTCCAGAAACACAACCATTCTTTAACTTCACAACTAAATTTCATTAGTTCAAGTTTAAAAAGTTTTACTTTTGATTTTTCATTACTTAATGTATTCCTGTTTGGTTGTGGTTTACTTTCTATAAAAGAATTGACGCATACTATAGCTTTATCAAATTTGACTTTATATTCTTCTACAGATTCAAATTCCTCAGAATAACGTTTACCATTATCGTCTGCACTCAAGGCAAGTTCTAAAATTTGGTTGTCAAGATTCATTAAATCAGTACTAATACGCTCTAAAGTAGCTAATTTAATCTTAACATTACTTATTTCTATATTTTCATCATCAACAGAGACATTAAACTTTTATATGTCTTAGTAAACGATGTTCATAACGAAGGTCCGCTTCTTAACAAGATGCTCCATTGTAAACCAAGACCAAAAATTCACTTAAGTATTTCTTTGGTAAAGTATTCACCTCTTATATTTTAATCATGTATTGAGGGTCACCAAATGATAGGTATGACAGTAAATGTTCACCATTTGGTCCATTCATAAACTTATTTCTACCCAAATAATATCTATAAAAATGTAAACACAACCAAACAAGTTTACTCTACCAAAAAATAACTTCTTACAACTGTTGCCACTCAAAGCAAAACTAAAGGGAAAATAATATTACACTGGTTGAATGTATATGAACAATACTATAGTAAGCATCTTTATAGTATACTTTATAGTAAGCATCATTTAGCTTTAATTAGAATCAAGTGTAATTAACACAATAATAATACCCTAAAAAGGAAAGAAAATTACCTCTTTAAGTAGCGATAACAGTGTTATGCCATTTTTCCAACTTCTCACGTATGCTAATTTTTAAAAAACTCGTAATTCTTTTATCATTTGTGACACATTCAACAGCTGAAAGACCGTGTGAGTATAATTTTCGTCCTTACACTTTATTAATTTTTAGTTTGAGTATTTTAACCAATTTGACAAAAATACCACAAATGATTCTTACAGATGATTTACATGCCATCAAAATATAACTTTTGCATATAGGAAAAACAGACTTTACATCTGTTGAAATTTTGATATCAGGTGACTGTGGAAATTGTAGCATGAGAAGCAAAGCAAAAATTTCCAAGCCTCTTGCAATAAAAATATAAAAAAATAAAATTACAATTTTTATTTCCTATCAATATTGTATTTTAAATTTTCGACTTAGAACATCCAGTTTTACATGGCTCAACCTAAGACGGATGTTATCTTGACAGAGTACTGTACTGCATTTTTGATTCTGCGAATACTTTTAGAAACTGATGCACTACTACTACTACCACTCGCCCGCTGAGCAGGATTTCGACCAGGTGCGATTTAGCGTGAAAGAGAGATTTTTTTTCTTTTCTGTATAAGAAGTAAACTTTAATCAATCAAATATCTTCCATTCTGTTTTGTGGCCTTTTGCAATTTTTCTGGTAACTTTGATTTGCCGCTCATAGAACGTGTTGCCATAGATGTGTAAGATCTCGCATTGCCATGTTTGAACATGTTTCTTTTGCGATTTGCCAATTCTGGCCTTTTTCTCTTTGATTGTGTGGCGACACACTGCCTTTCTGTGGCAACCCTCAAGAATTCGTCTGTCACGAGGATCACGTGCCCAGATGATGCATCGTTACGTCTACGTCTGCTTTTCTGTTTGATAGTTAGTTGCATTGAAGATTTTGTAGAATTAGAAATGGCGTGAAAATAAATGTTGGTGTTTTTAAAAAGTGTCGGCTCAGATTTTCGAACCTATGATTTACTTATTAAGCAACAAATTTGGCGAGCCAGCCAGGATGAATGTCACAGGGTGACATTATCGATTTTGACACTTGATAATTTACGAAAATAAGAGAAGTTCCTACGTGCAAACATGGATGATTTAGAAACACTAAAACAGAAGCGGAAAGCAATTAGGAGTGTATTTACGAAAACAGCTAATAAGTTAGATGAACTAATACGATCAGATTCTCCGGATTTGGACGATTTAGAAATTTATTTAGATCAAATTTCAGAGAAGTATAAAACTTTACGAAATACGGATGACTCTTTTTTGGAACTTCTACAGAAAAAAGGCTGTACTGAAGAAGAATACGAAAGAGAATTTAGTGCAGCTCAAGAATATTACGATAAATTATCTACGTTGAAAGTAAAAGAAAACAGGAAAAAGGATAAGTGTTCACAGCCTTCTACTGGTTCACCGAATAGCAGTTCTTCATCAGGAATAGTTACGGCCGCAAAACAGAAATTGCCAGAGATCGAACTGGTGAAGTTCGATGGAGATTCCCGAAAGTGGTTGACGTTTTGGACAAGGTTTAGTAAAATACATGAAGATACTCGCATCGACAAGAGAGACAAGTTTCATTATCTACTACAATCTACGAAACCTGAGACTGCGCCAAGAGCAATAGTGGAGAGTTTTCCTGCTACGGAAGAAAATTACGAAAAAGCCGTGAAGTATCTCAAAGAACGATTTGGAAATGAAAATGTTTTAATTCAAATTTATGTTAGAGAGCTATTAAAACTGGTAATCAATGACAAACAAAAGATAGACTTATTAACTCTTTATGACAAGTTGCAAACTCAACTACGCGCGTTGGAATCACTCGGTTTAACTAAAGATAAATTTGCAGTTGTTTTATTTCCTTTAGTGGAATCAGCACTTCCTGCTGATTTAATACAATTTTGGGAAAGACAACGAGGTATGTCTCCTGAAACAACAGGTAAGAATGATTTAGAGTCATTAATTGATTTTCTAAAAAGGGAAGTAGAGATTGAATTTAGAGTTAAACTTACACATGATGTTTGGGGTTCTGATAAAGTAAGTAATAAGAAAAATAAGTTTTTTGACACAATACCTGTTGTTCCAACTGCATGTGAACTAATTAATGCAAATAGTAGTAAGTGTAATGTAGATAATTTTCAAAAGTATAAAAAAAAGTCTGATACTTGTATTTTTTGTGAAAAATCCCATTTGTCTGAAAGTTGTAAAGATGCATCTTTAATGAGTTTAGAATGTAAGAAAGATATTATTAAGAAAAAGAATGTTTGTTTTGTGTGCCTTAAGAAAAACCATAGAGCAAATCAATGCACAGCTAAACATAGGTGTACCTTATGTAAAAATCGACATTTGTGATTATGTGCCCTGATTTGCCTTCTAACAAAACAAAAGTGTCACAAAGTTAGGGAATGACGAAAACAAAACAGGCATTCTTAATAATTGTGTTAAGGTATCAGATGTATATCTTCAAACTTTAATTGTAAAAATTCAGAATGGTTCTAAAGAAATGTTTGTACGAGCAATTTATGATAGTGATTCTATGAAATCATATTTATGTAGTGATGTTGCTCAAAGGTTAAATTGTAAGTGTATTGGTGAATCAAAAATTAAGTAATTTTTTTTGGTGGAGTTGAGACTTCAGAAAATGTATATATAAACTATGTTATTGAAGTAAGAAATATATATAGTAAATATAAGTGTAAATTAGAGGTACTTGGTCAAAACAAAATTTGTTCTGAAATTAAGCAACTCCCATCTGGTTCATGGTTACGCGAACTTAAGTCACATGGTATCAAATTAAGTGATTTAGAAAATGGTACATGTAAGGTAGATAAAGAGATAAAATTACTAATTGGTGCTGATTTTGCTGGTAAGTTGCTAACTGGAAAAATTTTTACCCCTTACGTTCGGCGTCAGCGCGGTGCTGGACGGTTATGGGTAAATTTACTGGCATTGAGCCAACTACGATAAATACTGCATCCCTCCTAATTTCTTCTCTGTTAGTGAAGGGTCAATGTATTAGTGATCTCTGGAAGTTAGATGTTATGGGTATTAGTGAACCTTCCGTAAGTAAAACCAAAACTCAGTTACAGGAGGATACGCAAAAATATTTTGAAGAGACTCTTACGGTAAATTCAGAGGGAAGGTACGAAGTAGCATTACCGTGGGTGTCGGATAGCTCGCACCCAAAAACAAAAGGATAGCAGAAAAATGTCTTGTAAGTACTAAAAGAAAATTAATGACTAGAGGAAATTTTGACGCTTACGGAGACGTTTTCCAGAACTGGTTAGCACTCGGGATAATTGAAAAAGTACCGGATAAGAATAAATATAAGGGTGTACATTATTTACCTCATAGAGCAGTTGTTAAAGAAAATAGTAGCACGAGTATAAGACCGGTGTTTAATGCAAGTTCTCATTCGCCTGGTTACTCATCATTGAACGATTGTTTACCTACTGGACCAAATTTAATAGAAATTATACCTTCGATTCTTAATCTGTTTCGCAAGAATTACGTTGGTGTCACTTCACTTCAGATATAGAAAAAGCATTCTTGCAAATATCTATAAGGGAAAAAGATCGAGACTTTTTGAGATTTATGTGGTTCAGTAGGGATAATAATCAAGAACAAGTTGAACTGTATAAACTGCATCGGCATGGAAGGGTAGTTTTTGGTATTACGTGTAGTCCGTATTTATTGGCCGCTACTACAATACAATATCATTTGAGTGTAGTTCCCGAAAAGCTTAAGTCATACAGTGGAGATTTTGAAAACATCCTTTTACGTAGATAACTGTGTGGCTAGTATGGATTCAGAAATAGAAATGAGAAAGTTTGTAAATGAATCACAAATAATTAATAATGGCTTCGGGTCATTTTAATTTAAGATTCTGGAAATCCAATATAAGAAGTGTTGTGCCAGAGGAAGATTCCTCCACGGAAGGAGATGTGTCTGTTTTGGGCCTTGTATGGCATACAGTTACAGATACCTTATCTTGGAAAATAAGTCAAGATATAAAATTGGATGACCCAGTTACTAAAAGACTAGTTTTAGCAGTAGCTCATCAGGTGTTTGACGTTATAGGGCATACGGCTCCTGTAATGTTGATTTCAAAACTAATTTTACAGGAAACTTGGAATTTAAGGCTTAAATGGGACGATATTCTTCCCGATGAATTAACCAAAAAGTATAGGTTTTGGCTTAAAAAGTTGTACTTGCTATCCAGTATCCAAATACCTAGATATGTAGGTCTCAAATCTATTAATGAAGCTGTGAGTATACATCTCTTTTTTGTGACAGTAGTAAAAGTGCGTATGGTGCATGCGTCTTTTTAAGAGTACAGACTGGCAAAAAGGTGAAGGTTAGTTTGATACACGCAAGATCGAGAGTAGCTCCTTTAAAACCTATTACGATTCCTCGATTAGAACTTCTTGCATGTAATATTAGTTTTAGGTTATTGTCTTCAGTTATTAATGATATTGGCCTACATGAAGTTCGTATTCATTGTTGGACTGACTCCTCGACGGCTTTAAGTTGAATACGGCGAAATCAACGTCATTCGTTTTTAATCGTGTACAGGAAATCAGGTCGTTGACCTCCCCCACTGTATGGCGACATGTCCCTGGTAGTCTCAATCCTGCTGACCTACTTTCTAGAGGTTGTTATGCAGATCAATTAATAGAACGAAAATGGTGGGAGGGACCTGATTGGTTACGGGAAGATGAGGCAAATTGGCCTAAATCTAATGATGAACCAGATGAGGATTTGGTTAATTCAGAAATACGTAAGACAGTTATTGTTACGTTGGCAAAGAGTGATAATTGTATTGGATGGTACTATAAGATTAAGAAAATTGTCATCATTTAAGAAAATTGTAAGAATGTTATCATGGATATTCAGATTTTATAATAATGTACGTAAGAATAGTAATAACAACCATTCTAAGGATTTGACTGTATCTGGAATAGAAAGGGAGAGAAACAGCTTTAATGTTATTAATACATATTAATAAAAAGAGTCGTTTAAAATGGTGAAATAGATGATAAGCTAAGACGACTCAGACCATTTGTCGATAGTCAGGGTCTAATAAGAGCTAAGTCTAATGTTGCTTATCGGGACGACTCTAACAGCTTTAAGTTCCCCATCATATTACCTTCTGAGCATGCAGTAGTCAAATTATTGATATTAAGTGCACACAAAGATTTGTTGCATGCAGGTACTAAATTATTGATGTCGCATTTAAGAGAAAGATACTGGATCTTAAAATCACGTAAAATTATAAGAAACTGTATAAGAAAATGTGTAACATGTCAGAGATTTAAGGCTAAAAGAGGTGAGACAGTCCCAGGCGTTTTACCAAATGATAGGGTTCGTGATTCAGCCATTTTTGAAATCGTAGGGTGTGATCTTGCCAGGACCCTTGCATTTAAAGGATGGACGAAAATCGTATATTGTGCTCTTCACCTGTGCGGTTTATCGTGCTATCCATATGGAACTGGTTACCTCATTAACAACTGACTGAATCATTTTTTTTTTTTCAAGCTTTAAGGCGTTTTAGGCGTTTTATCGCACGTCGTGGACGCCCGCCCTACCACCATATATTATTCCGATAATGGGAAAAATTTTGTGGGTGCAGAGAGAGTTCTGCAAACCATTGACTGGGACTGCCTTCTGCTCTAAGGCTGCTGAAAAGAGAATACAATGGAAATTTAATCCTCCATCCGCCGCTTGGTGGGGTGGATGGTGGGAGCGTTTAATACAAATTGTAAAACAAATATTAAGAAAAATTTTAGGTCGTGCTTCTCTTGGTTATGAAGAGTTACTCACCTATTCTTGTGTGATTGTGAAAGAATTGTTGTCAACTCAAGACCACTTACGTACGTGTCTGATGATATTGAAGATCCCTTAGCCTTTAACTCCAGAAAAATTTCTGCATGAAACTCCACACAGTCGCGTGTACCTGATATTGACAATGTGGACAAAGAAAAATTGAGTAGAAGAGCGAAGTATCTCCAGAGAATGAGAGAAGTGTTAAGAGTGAGATTTCGCTCTGAGTATCTAGGACAGTTAGACAGCAGTCAGTCTACCAGAAATTACAAAAATAAAACCTCTTTCTGTAGGAGAAATTGTCTTGCTGGAGGATCAAAATAAAAACCGTGCATATTGGAATTTAGCACGCGTTATTCGAGTGATCCCTGGTCGAGATGGCAACATAAGAGTTGCTCTTGTAAAAAGTAATAATTCAGAGTTCTTGAGACCAATACAGAGATTGTTTAGATTAGAACTGGATAATATAATAGATAATACTCAAAATGAGCAAGTTCCTTTCACCACCAGTAGTGGTAGAGTTGTAAAATCACAAATAATGTAACTTATGTCTTTGAGTTATTATGATTAATTTTTGTGCTATTATTGGTGTATTATTCCTCAGTATTAATTTTGTTTTCAAGTAATATGATTTAAGTATTAAGTAATTTTCTTTGTTATATAACCATCATTTATATTGATGTAAGTTTTATGTTTTGAGTGTATAGCCATCCACTCAAAAGGTGGGAGAATTGTGGCGACACACTGCCTTTCTGTGGCAACCCTAAAGAATTCGTCTGTCACGAGGATCACGTGCCCAGATGATGCATCGTTACGTCTACGTCTGCTTTTCTGTTTGATAGTTAGTTGCATTTAAGATTTTGTAGAATTAGAAATGGCGGGAAAATAAATGTTGGTGTTTTTAAAAAGTGTTGGCTCAGATTTTCGAACCTATGATTTACTTAGTAAGCAACAGATTGCTTCCTCCAGTTTCATACGCTGTTGGCAGTAAACATCTGAGATGATCGTTTACTAGCTTGAAAGCAACTCAAAATACTTTGTAATCCCATCAAATTAAAAGCATGGCCTTTTTCTGACACAATTAAGCTTTCGATATGATTGGTGCAGCTTCATCATGCTTTAACCATGATCTCTTTCGATTAATGTTATTGTAGACGAATCACTTTTTCATCACCAGTGATAATTCGTTTCAACAAAGCGTAGACTGTATTACTTTTGAAATGCGTATTGCAAACATTGGTTCATTGTCTTTTTTCAATTCACGCGGAATTTCTTTCAATTCATGCAAAACTCAAATAGCGAGCTTCTTAACGAGTCCAAGGCATCTCATGTAATTTTCAGTTGTTGTGTGGTATGCATTTAACCTTGTTGCAATTTCTTTCAGAGTTATATGATGATAAGATACACATAGGTCTTTAAATTTGTCATCATTAACCTCAGAAGGTCGGCCAGCACGTAGGTCATTTTGAAATGAAAGTCTCCAGAAAGAAATTTTTTAAACCAGTTCAGGCACATGCATTCTGTTAAGCAATCAACACCATAATCTCCACACGTCTCTTTGTAAGCCTCAGCCACCTTCTTGCCTTTATGAAAATAAGAAAGTAAAATATGTCAAAAATGTTTATTTTTGCGCACTATGTAAAAACTGACCGAAAGCTAAGAGTTGTAAAGAAAAATACATTGCATTTCCTTCGATAGCGTCTTAAAATGTCAGTTGCCAAATCTTTAAAAAAAAAAAAAAAAAAAAAAAAAAAAAAAAAAAAAAAACAGATTTACAGAGAAATAACAAAACGAACATAAATATATCTAATTGTGTATATCGAAATTACTTTCGCGAAACAAATACTGTTATTGTTTTATTTTATCACATTTTCCTTAAGTTCAACTAATTTTAATTAGCTTACTTACACTCAAATTAATAAGCTGTGTAGATTCTGAGGGTTATTGCCACTAGAAATTTTAAGCTCATAAAACAGACAGACACAAAAAAGGGTTCACTTTTAATTTATTCTACCTCACCTCTTACGATGGTTAAACTAAAATTATACAACACAAAATTACTAGTTACCTGTATCTACCTTAAACAGAAGTTTTCTTCAAACTGGTATAAATTTAAAAAATTTAAAGTATCTTAGCAGAAGCTATAAACTTTAACCAAGATCGCAACACAGATTCAAATTTTTAACTTACCACCAATATGGCAAAAAAGAAAATTAAACAAAATATTTTAACTTAGTCTTCTGGACATGGATAAAGAAAATGACAGGGCAGACTTGCATTTGCAAAATTAAGAAGTATGAAATGTACTCCCTTTCATGGGTTGTGTAATAAAATAACGGAACCTTCCAGTATAAACAATTGCTAGCGCAAATTATGGTTATAAGTGAAAATGATTTTAGAATTCTAGACATGTTGTAGATCATATATAAACACCATAGCAGGGAATTTAGGGGGAGATTTTGGAAGCAGTAAACAAAATAAATATACTCTGAATAATCAAAATATTATACAGGCTCGATAACGCATTGGTCTACTTTTAGCTTTGATCCCAGCCGATATTCTTCTGAACTCAACGAGATGGACGGATCATTCCTAAGAAATATTAGTATATGCTGATTTAATAACAACTCCAAATTCTGTAAGACCTGGATGGTAAAGTTTGCAAGGGATTATACACTTACTACTGAATACAAGCGAAGTCAGAGAAGTAAGATGACGATGGAAACAATCTGAACTCCAAAACATGTTATTTAAATAAATTTAAGTCCAATCGTGGATTGCGATAAAGCACATTATCACGATGAAAATGAAGGTCTGCATCGGAAGACATCGCAGCCATAAACAAATGTGTATATGGATCGGCAACAATCGAAAAGTTATCATTAGACAAGAGGGGTCAATGAATTCATTTTATTTGCGCCTGATTCTAACCCTTTCAACTGTATAAAACAGAAGGAAGTGAAACTCACCAAACCAAACAACATTTTTCATTGGTCAGAAGTGATTTTCTATTGATCAGTATTATTAAAGTTATCTATGACGACAGTCTGCTAATAAAAAATTCTTCCCACAGCGCATTACGTGGTATCATGAGTTTGGCTATGGTTTGTAATACACCTGACTTATATTGATGCATTTGTTGCCCTTTTGTTACTGCGGGCAGTTTCTGCCAGCCGTCTTTCACATCTAGCCCCAACCAACAAGCTGGAATCGAGTTTTCTTGCACCCATCATCACGCTTCCTTCAGAATCACTCAAATATTTCTTTTTAATCAACTTTCACTCAACCGAAATAATTACTATTTCTTATCAAGGTATGCATGCCTAATGCAAGCAAGTCATGGCTGATATGTCACTAGCAGACTAGTCCATGTTAAAAAAATAGTTCTCTCTTATGTTTCTGCCACTCAATCTCTTATATATCATCATATATCAATCTCTTATATCATCGTATATCAATCTCTTATATCATCATATATCAATCTCTTAAATCATCATATATCAATCTCTTATATCATCATATATCAATCTCTTATATCATCATATATCAATCTCTTATATATATTATATATATATAAAATTATCTTATATCATAACTATCAAAAGTTGACGCCATAGGTGTTAGAACGTTTTAAAAGGGAAGAAATGTTAGAAGCACCAAGAAAAAAAAGAGAGGAGTAGAAGCTTTTAAGCTAGTCTTTTCCCAATGAAAATTTTAAATGAATATTTTGTTTGGTAGGGCAGTTAAATGAACGTGTTCTTGAATCAGATCTTTTTTTGAATACAGTTCGGAGTTTAAATTATTAAATTTAAAATAATAAATTTGTGTACAGTTCTATCAATTGAATACATTTCCATTTGTATAAAGTTTATATAATCTAGGTTGTACATTGGGAATAAATGAAAAGGTTAATCTGAGTCCATTAATTGCGTACAAGACCCCACACCGGCCACGATTGGATCCTACAAACATTTTTTTAAATGTCCATAGTGGAATAGTTCCAGATTTTGGCCCCATTTCCTCATGTTACGTTACTATATTCTGTTACCTTTAAATAGGAATTTCAAGGTTCGTTTACGCCGCCCGACGTGCCTCGTAAGCATGGGAACGATAAATGCGACAGATGGCTCTAATTACTTAATTTCTTCCTTCCGTTCCATTTCGTATTTCGTTTCCTGAAAAGAGTATGAGCGAAAGCTGCCTCGAATGAGTTTCAGATGTCGAGAAAAGTGCTGTGCGGGAATGATCATGTTCATTACAATCACAAGTACAAGTACAAGTGACGGGGGACGTGGGCACTGTGCCTCTACCATACTGGTTAATCAGTACAGTATCACGTCCACCATTAACTAGAATAGCCCCAGATGTCAAGAGGGGAGGGCACACTCTCGCCTCGCTGAATTAGTAAGCATTGATTATATATATATATATATATATAAATACTGTGTCATACGTCATTCAAGATACATATTACATGATTTCCTACAGTGACCTTGATAACAAATATAATTCCGCGCACAAATTATAGTTACACCTATTGTTACATTGAATAATACCTATATATGACTTGCTTAAAATATACTTTGAAATACGTTGGACAGTCTCCATAAGACTTGATTAAAATATGCATGGAAATACGAACACTATAAATTGGAATGCGCGTGATATAACAATGATTGGAACTGCTCTGATATGCGCCCTCAAGTCGCCAAATTTCTCTACGCTGCCATTTTGCTATCTAAATTTTTTGTTTACATTTCGAACTTTAAGCCTAAAATGTCTCCAAAAACATGGTTTTCGCGAATGCAAAAACCACGTTTTGAACACACAATTTAAGCTAAAAATCCGAAACAAAAACAAAAAATTTAGATAGCTAAACCGTAAAGTTTCTAACCAAAATTATTTGACAAGAGTCTATGTACACAGCGATATGTTTTAACTTAAAAAAAAATCTACGAATGGCACAATCTAGTCAACAAACGAATCTGCGAACTATGCACACCTCACTTTAATAAATTAACATAACAACAATAAATTTCATAGAATACCATATATATAGCGTCCTGTTTCAACTTAAAAAAACATCTACGAATTGCACAATTTAGGCAACAGACGAATCTAAGAACCACGCACAATACCTCGCTTTAATAAATTAACATAACAATAAATTTCAAGGAATACCATGTATACAGCGTTCTGTTTCAACTTTAAAAAACATCTGCGAATTGCACAATTTAGACGATATGCACTAATCAACAAAATAACTAAAATTTCAAACAATTCAAAAAAATAACAATAACGACAGAAATTCATACTAAAAAAAACAATGAACATAACATTCTACAAAATAAGAACAAGAATGAAATAAAATGCACTTACCATGAAATGCTTTTTCGAACAGCAGAAATACCAATTTCATACCGCCTTTAGCATGCCGCCACGTAATCACTATCGTATTTATATGACAGCCAGACACACTATCCAGAAAATTCATACTATGGTTCACAAATAAATAAAATAACAAATAATCACAAATCCCTGCTT